CTCAGTCAAAGGACCCAGATGCAAGAGACCCCATATGATGTGATTCCGTTTATATGCGATGTAAAGCCATAGGTAAATCTATAGAGGCAAGAAGTGCCTAGGAAGAGGGGGGTGTCCTGGTGGTGCAGGGGTGAACCACTGGGTGGTTAACCCAAAATCTAGTAGTTTAAATCCATTAGCCACTCTGTGGGAGAAAAGGCCTGGTGATCTTCGGGCAGTTCTACTCTGTCCAGTAGGGTCACTAAGAGTTGGAATACAATAGGAATGTGGGGGGAGGGTCACGGTTGGGAAGTGACTACTAACAGACCCAGGATCGTCTGTTTGTGAGATGGAACTCAGAGTGGGGACAGCTGTGCAACCCTGGGATTGCCCTGAACTGTCCACCTTAAACCTGTGAACTTCGCTTTGTGAATTATATCCCAAAAGTGCAATTAAAACATATTACCAAACCAACTCTCTGTAAGTGTTGGTATCTATATAAGAAATGAACCCTTGCCAATTTATATTTTTACCATAATGTCATGCTGGTACTCAATCAGATTTAATGAGGAGTTTGTGGCTTATTCTGGTTCTGTTTTCGACAGCAAATGTGGCTGACGTTTCACACGTTCAATTACTAACTTAGAACACTTTAAAAACCAGCACCGTATTTTCCATCAGTCAAGGGGAACCAAGATCAAGGCAGTGGGTCTCCTGCTGCCATCCCCCCAGAGCACAGTCAGAAAGGGAAGTGACAGCAGGGGAGAGAAGACACGTCTTACTTAGCACTAAGCTGCCCACCAGCAGGTGCCACTCACTCAACTCATGTCTGAATGACCAGTCACTGGGTCCGAGGTACTGGGACCAGGGCAGTGAACAAGAAGGATCGAGCTCTGCACTCATGGCCATATCAGCTGATCAGCAACAAATATCATGTATATGCATGGGATCCAGAAGTCAAGATGGTCAGGGAGAAAGAGGCAGGGCTTCAGACGACTTGAGTTCTAGCCCTGACTTGACTTGGGCTCACGTCTTAATGTGTTAATGTCACGGTTTCCTCACTTGGAGGGAACGCGTTGGCCTAAACCCTGGGTCCTCAATCCTGACTGCATATTAGAGTCACCCAAGAAACCCTGAAGGTGCCCTGGTGGTGTAGTGACTACACATTGGACTTACACAGAAAGAGCAGCTTGAGAAAAAAAAGGATAGCAGTTTGAAACCAAAAGCTGCTCTGAAGGAAAAAGGATTTCGAACCCTGTAAGAGTTCAGTCTTGGAAACCCCCAGGGGTAGTTCTACTCTGTCCTATAGGGCCGCTATGAGTCAGATTCGACTCGATGGCAGTGAGATTTTGCTTGAGGAAACTCTAAAGACTTGTTGTGCCCAGTCCATGCCCCAAGCCAACTAAGTCATTGTCGTGAGGTGGGGTCCAGGCATCAGCCTGTTTAACGCTCCTCAGGAGGGGCAGAGAAGAAGTCCCTAGTTAAGAGGGATTGGCACAAGGACTGCAACAATGGGCTCAAACGTATGAGTAATTGTGAGGCTGGTGCAGGACGAGGTGGTATCTCCTTCTGCTGTCCAGAGGATTAGAACCCACTCGATGGCACCTAACAACAACAGGTGGTGATTCCAGCGTGCAGGCCCCTGAGGACCTTTACAGTTTTAAGGCTCTGTATGTCCACAATAAACTATTTGAGTCCAGCTCATATCTCAGGACTGGTAGGGATCTACTGTACCTCTCTGCCCCTACTTTACCTTCATCCTCAGTCCAGCACAGAAGCCTCAGCTGTTCCATACAGTCTGATCAGCTTTGTGATCCCTGCACTTGCTTTCCTTCAGTTCTCTGACTGGCCCGTGGATTAAGAGATTCACTTGCTGAGATTGTGGGCAGCAGAAATATAAGCTAAACATCCCTTGGGTCCCTTGGCTATTGATAAGCTACTCTGGAGAAATATTTATCAAGATACAAAGTAGAAACTATTGCATAAAGTAAGATTTGAATGTCATGAATGTCAATGGTATAGCCTACTCCCAACTGTTGTCTAAAACCATGCTCCGATGACAGGCAGACGTCTGGACACTAACCTCTGGAATCAGGGACTATGTTACCTTTCCTGGCTGTGGTCGGAAGAGATAACAGTGGGAGAAAAGTCAGTGAGGTGCAACATCGCTGACGTTGGAGGAGGGGGAGGAGGCCATGTGACCTCTAGAGCTGGAAAAGCAACGACACAGACCAGAAAGAGCACATTCCCGCGACCACCATGGTTACCACTCAGTAGGACCTGTCCACAGTCTGATAACAAATTAGTGTTACTTTGAGGGATGAAGTTGACGGTAACTGGTACAACAACAAAACAAAACAAAGCAGGCAAACAAACAAAAAACCAACTAAGCCTACTGCCATTGAATCGATTCTGACTCCTGGGGTCCCTATCTAGAGTTTCCCAGGCTGTGCCCCTTTCTGGGAGCAGAGGCCTCATCTTTCTCCTATAGAAAGAATAGTGGGTTTGAACTGCCGATCTTGCAGTCAGCAGTCCAGTGCTTACTCGACATTGCCACCAGGGCTCCTTACCTGGTACAACAGCGACAGGAAAGTAAAACCAAACAGCCTCTGCTCTCCACAATGCTGTGGATGTCCCTGACCTGGTGTCCCTGGGTGGTGGCGTCATCAGCCCCCAGACTCGCAGAGGCATCTCGGTCAGTAAGGCCCCTGCTCCCTCTGCTCCAGCACCTAGTGAACTGCTAAGCCGGGTGGAGCTGGCCTCCGGGGACTCTCCGATCTGTGTTCCCTGGCCATACCTCAGCGCATCCCGCCTGCAGCCTCCACGCCTCACTGCACTAACTGTCCTTCCCTCTTCACCGAGTTGCTCGCCTTTCCTCGTTTCTGAAAGCCGATGCTGCACATCACTGACAGAGGAAACTTATTTCCAAGGCACAGCTCGCTAGTCCTCTTCACCCCGGGATGTAGGATTCCCACTGCTGCTCATGTTCATACATGGATTTTGCGAGACTCTGTGCTCAGACCCTTACATTGTTGCTGTTACTGTTTTTGTTCCTTTCTGTTGATTTGATGTTGACTGTGACGGGCTGAACTGTGCCCGCTCAAAAATATGCTGTTGATCCTATTATACCAGTGACTATAACCCCAATTGGGAGTAGGGTTTCCTTTGTTACATAAATGAGGTGTGTTTTAAATCCATCCGTTTTGAGATATAAAAGAGCAGATTAAACAAGCAGCAAGGAGGCGGGCTAGGGGAGGCAGATGGCAGGCCAGTGAGCTTCTCCAAGGAGTCCACAGAAAGAGAAAGCTTTTCCGTCAGCTGACACCCTGAATTTGGACTTCCTGCCCCTAAAACTCCAAATACTTTTACTGGGGCGTTTACATCTCTTATCACAATCCATACATCCATCCAGTGTGTCAAGCACATTTGCACATATGCTGCCATCACCATTTTCAAAGCATTCTCTTCCCACTTGAGCCCCTGATATCCGCTCCCCATTTCTTCCCTCTCCCTCCCCCATCCACCCTCCCTCATGAACCCTTGATAAGTTATAGTTTATTATTTTCATATCTTACATTGTCCTCATTGCC